AAAAGAAGGGTCCCATGCTTGATTTAATGCTCTGCTGCTGTCATCTGGATTTCATAAAAATTTTATCTTTAAATGTATGTATTATAAAAATTTTATCTTTAAATGTGTGTATGTAAACTCTGATGGAAAAATAGAGCTTGCACACAAGCAGAGGAGACACATGCAATATGTGTGTCCACTATTTCTTGCTGCCTTGTTTGCCTATACTGTATTGTCTAAGATGCCCATGAGCACAGAATTCTGGTGGACTCACTGTGCATGGGATTTCAGCAAGACTCAAAGTAAGAACAAGGTAAATATATTATGTCTACAATTGAGTAAATGATGGTATTGACCACCCCAGGAGGCCATGCTTTCTCTTTGAACCAAAACTTGCTTTGAATGAAGAAGGCAATGGCATTCTGAGAAATATTAACAAAAAGGAATCCCATCTTATCTTACATATTCATGTTATTTTCCTGTTATTAGCCAACCAATTATTTTGAAAATTATAACACTGAAGGAAAGGGAAAGATATGATAACCCATAGTTCATTTTTCTTTCAGTCCTTCCCTCAGCTGTAAAGCACAGGTAGAGAGTGCTGGTAGAATATCCATGTATCAAGAAGCAAAACAAAAACAGTGCAACGGTTTTGTGCAAGATTTCCACTTTTCTAGTAAGAACAAAATACATATTAATGTATAAGCTACAAAAGGCAAATTATATAATTTTAGTGAGTCCACCTATAAGTTAAATGCTTACTTATTTACTTTTAAAACTGGCATTGTACAATATAAAAGCAAATGCTAAAATTCATAGTATTAATTTAAAATTTTACTTTTTTAACTTAGAATGACATTAATTAGAAAATTATAAATACAGGACAAGTTGAGAGAGAGATTGCAAAAGAAACAAAAGAACCTTATATTTTAATAAATATAACTAACAGCAATTTTTTTGAATAAGGAACCTTGCATTTTCATTTTGTACTAAACTCTGCAAATTATTTAGCTGGCCCTGAGCACAATGTGCATTTACACATAGCATATAAGCAGTAACTATAAAAGAGCTGTAATAAGTTCTCATTAGACATTCAATTAATAATAATATCCCAATTAATGGCTCTTTGATAGAGGGAGAAGAAAGCACAACTTTGCTAAAAGAGCCTATTCTAGCTATAGTGTATAACTTAGTTGAAGATCCAGATTTTATAATACCTGGAAAAAAGAAAACAAAACAGATTCTCTGCCTAACCTAATGTTGATGCAAACAAGAGCCATAGTTGCTGATATAGGATCCAGGAGACACATACCCCTTTAGCCCTCCCCAAGTACCTCTTGTCTTGTGCAACAGGGACAATGACTTTCACTGTGAATGTCAGTTTAGATGTGGCTGCAGGGAAGGATCAGATTAATGGTTGCTGCTCCACCTCAGTCTATTGCTTTTTTATTTTATTTTATTTTATTTTATGAGACAGAGTCTTGCACTGTTGCCCAGGCTGGAGTGCAGTGGCACAATCATAGCTCACTGCAACTTCAGCCTCCCGGGCTCAAGCGATTCTCATTCTCGTACCTCAGCCTCCTGAGTAGCTGGGATTACAGGTGTGTGCCATTATGGCCAGCTATTTTTGTATTTTTTTGTAGAAACAGGTTTTCACCATGTTAACCATGCTGGTCTTAAACTCTTGGCTTCAAGCAATCCACCCACTTTGGCCTCCCAACGTGCTAGAATTACAGGTGTGAGTCTGTGCCCAGCCTCAGTCTATTGTTTCAAATTGTCCTGAGGGAAAGATCATGGGAGTGTCCAAAAACTCACACAGGCACCCAGGCCTGTTGAGAGAATAAACAATTTTGAAGGCCAGATTCCATGCCCAAGGTTGATGACTCAAATGGTTCTAAGCCATGGTTAATAACCTATGGAACTGAAGCTCCTAAGTTTGTTAAGGAGTTACACAGTCACGGAGCTTTTATATTATTATTTTTAATTTTTATTTTTTAACTTAACATTCTGGGTGTAAGTCACCGAGCTTTTAAGCAGGTTTCCCAACAGTTTTGATTGCTCAACCTCCTTTTACCCGCAGAATTCATACCAATCGAAAATAGTCTCAAAAGACGTACAGCCACCAGATGGCCAGTCCCAATCTCCACTGTGGTTCTGAGAGATCTTGAGGGAGAGCTTCAGAAAGCAGAATGAGCGATCAAGGAAATCCATGAGCAAAGGAGATTTTTCCCCAAGAGCAGAAGCTGGGGCAGCTGATAGATAGATCTAGGACTGCCGCATGGAGTCCCTGTTTTCCTGCTGTTGCTGTTCAGCAGGAAAAAATATATGCTATAGTGCAGGCACTATTGTGTTTTCTCTTTTCTCAAATGGGAGTTGATATTGAAGCTGTCCTGTTCTTTCACCAGTATTTTATATAGAGTTGTATGACTTGGTTAAATGGGAAGAGCTATTGGAGGACTGAATATCACCCAGAGAACCTACACTTGGAGCTGGTTGAATACATAGAAGATACTTAAATTAACTCTCCTTGGGGAGTTTTCCATGCTGTAGCTAGTTAACATCTACTCCCACTGTCATGGTAGACCACTGAGATTCTACTGATATTCTGGCCGCAGATGCTGACTCTTGACCCCCAAAGCTGCATGTACCAGCATGCTGCCCTCTTCTGAGTTCTTAGTGTCCTAAAGGCATGCTGTGCCCTATGCCTAATTGGAGAGAAGATACCTCTCCTTCACCCTGCCTGCATCCTCATGTCTCACAGTGTCTCAGAATCCCTTTCTTTCATGTGTGCCCGTAGCTACTTTCTCCATGGGACTCAAACCCAAGTTTGTGGGGATGGCAAAGGGGAACATCACTGAGACTCTGCCATGTTCCCTCACAGTACCTCTTGGCTTTTGCATCTTGGGCACCCTGCCTCTCTTCTTTTTCAGCCAACAAAACAAAGCAAACCCTCCTGGCAGGCCTGCCCTACCAGTTCAGCAGACAAGCCTGGTCCTGTCTGAAGCCCAGTTGTGAGTCATTGTGGAAAATAGATTAATGTAAGCAGTCCTATATTCTGTTTAAGAAAGGCTCTAGGATCTTGGAGTGATTGAAGAGAAAATCCAAAGTACTTGAAACTGACTTACCATTTACTTTTTAGAATAATCTGTTGGCATTGAGCAGAGGTGGTAGAGGAAAATTATTAATGAGTAAGAGGTATCATTCATAAAAGGAAAACATGATTTTTCTTGATTTCAATTGAGGCTGCAAAGTTGAGAACAGTAGGTGGCAAATATCCCCATATTCTAAAGAGAGGTGCTAGATCATCTCTACGGTACTTGCTAAGAGGTGACTCCACACTGCCTCTGTTACCTCTTCTCGGCTTAGTGAAGGATTGAGAATGAGAATTTCTTAAAAGTCTGGTAGATGCTGAGCTCTGTGGTGTGGCCCCTATCCTACCAGTGGGAGAGAGGAGAGTGCTGCCTCTACCACCTCAAGCTGAGTGAGGGGGTTCGTAAACCCTTAGGAGGCAATGGCGCTGGAGTGGAGTCTGGTGAGAGAGTTCACAGAAGAGTTTTGACACATGATTCCCAGGGTTTGGAGGATCTGAGGCCTGACTTCTTCCTAGAAACTTCTAAGGTGTGAGGTCCTCTGGACTTGCTCCTGAAGCAGAGCAAAGTAAGGGATTGTAGTGGAGGTGATGCTGGCTGTACTTCCCTCTAGGCGAGGCCAGTGTGGCCACCATTGCTCAAAGAGCCTGTGGAATATTCCACCAGAAACGTGATTGGGGCAGTGGGAATAAGCAGCGATCTGAGGAGCACATCAAGCACATAGAGTGATGGACATAGCTGAGGGCAAAGTCATCAAAGAACCCCCAAAAGAGAAAGCCAGCTTTGGTGCATCTGCCACGCAGGGGTCAGTAACACTAGGTTACAAGACCACCCATCAAATCAGACCTATTTTCTCCCTTACCTGTCCTCCCCCTGCCAGCCTCCTCCAACCCTGGAGGGGCCAAAGGGTGCACAGGGAGTGGGAGAGGGAAAGTGGAGGAACCATGTGGAGGCATTGTGAAGATACAGAGGAGACCATCCCCTTCCCCACTGCTGGTCTGTGGAGGGCAGGGGAGAGACTCCAGAGAGATCTAAGTTTTCATTTTTATCACACTGGACTTCTTAATGCTTTGCCTGAAAAAAAAACCTTTTAACATCTGAAAGGGACTGGAAATCTCTAGGAGAGATGCTTAAGCTGTCATCCAGGGGCAGAGCAGGGAGATCTGACAGAAGATATCTAACGATCAAAGTAAAGAAAAATGAAGGTGCTCCTCATCTGCATGCCACAGAGTCCATCTCATTCACCAAGCCTGTCATATCTGAGATCCTGGGGAGCCACTGGAAGGAGAAGTAGTTAACATGCATGGATTTCAAGTAAATGCCACCTGAGAAAATTTCAATCGATGTTTACATTGCTGTGTATCACTATTAAAAGTACAGCACAGGGCCACGGGCATCAGATGTGGGTCTTTCTCAGTTTCTGTTGATGACAACCAGAGTTATTTTCCCAGATCAGTGATTTATTCCTTTGAGAGAAAAACACCTGATTACTTATTTTTTATACTTAGCATTCTATTGTAATGATTTTCCATGTTATTAATATTTCATATTCTTTTGAGTGCAAGATTTTTTTTTTATTTTTTGTGTACATTCAGAATTTTTATTTTAAAACCAAGAATTCAAGTAACATTAACCATAGAAAATCCATATGGAAACATTCACAATTCTGCTCTGTGAGAAATGGGAAAACAACTTCCCTGCCTTACTGCCAGCCTACTGCTTGAGGAGCCAGAAGTCGACGTGAAGTTGGAAGGTCATCTTTTCCAGCTAAACCCCACTCCATAGCTATGTGCATTTTTATTCAAAGCCTCCGCGACCACAGGTAACAGTGAGAACTGAGTACCAAAACACTGTCATTGGCAAGGGTTTGGCCAAAGGGTCTGAGATGTGTAAGCAACAGGATGGGAAAGGGAGATGGCGCAACATATGAAAAGGGGCCGTAGGAACAAACACAGAGAAAACAAGTCAACAAAATAACCTACTTCCACCCAGAGCAAAGTGACAGTGCACGTACATTCATCCTCAGTGTGGGCTACACTGCGCAGTGACTCATACTATCTCAAACGTGGTCTGCTGGAAAGATTCAAGTCCCCTAAGGGCACTTGGCACGGGACCACAGTGATGTGGTAACAGACACACACAAGCAGGCCGTGACCCTAAATCAACAACACACTTCAGATAATAGTCGTTCAGAAAAAAATCCTCTCCCAGAGCTGAGGTTACACATTCCAAGTTAGCTATAAACATTCTTTGGGGAATTCCTTTAAAGGTATGAGTTAAAATAAAACAAAAACCAACACCTAAAATATCCTAAAGAACAAAGTGGAAAAATCATGAATGTCTACCAAGAACCACTTACTGTAGGTTTCTCATTTGGATGGCTCTCCCACTGGATAGGTGGTGGGATTACTTCAAATGAGTCCAAACAAGGAGGAGTTGTTTGGTCCAGCAAGGGGAACAGGCTTTCCAGAAATAACTTTCCCTTCCCTGGATGCCACCCAAAATTAGAACCCATCAACTGCCATTAACTGCAATGCCCGTATTAGTTAATAATCCTAGATTTCAAGTACTACTGCATGTAAACTATTAAAGAAAAAAGTTCCAAGGAAATCAGTAATTTTAATATATAGGCATATGACTTTTATGAGAAATTGAACTCAAGAGTTTCCATCTGAGGGACTGAAATTGTTAAGAGGTAGCATGCAGACCTCAGGCACTACATCATTTACTATCCAATAATGAACTGCATTTCTCCCTAACTGCTTATTGCACCGTAACCTCTCTAGTATCAAATCTTCTACTCTATAACCTCTCTTTAAACTCCTTCCTCTAACCACTATTTCCTTTTGTTTTTATTATCTGGCAAAATTACACTTAAAAAATAAATATTTATGTTATGAAACCAGAGGATAAAATAAATAAAACTCAAGTTGACTTGCCATGTAGAGCTGTGTGGAAGTGAAGAAGGTGCTCTTACATAAACCCCCTCTGCCTTCTACACTCATCTGCTTCCTGATGAGTCTGAGTCTGGGGGAACTGCACCTTACTTTTCCTCTCCCATATCCCCTAGTGGGGCAATATTAGAGCTCAAGGGAGGAAAAGCTAGCAAAGTTGTCACATGCCAAGTGGCAAATCCCTCCTGAAATGAAGGTAGGTTCACTTGGTCTCTCCTAAGCAGAAGAGGATGTCCAGGAAACAAAATATTTTAAAAGCCATTAAAAATCTAATAAACCCCAGCCTTGGGGTGCTCATGGAGTGCGTGGGATAAGAAAGGAATCACATAGCAGCATTCAGAAGCTGTCCTGGGTTCATCCTGATGAGGTCTCTCTGACGTTCAGGGAGAGGTGGCTTTCCCATGCCGGGAGGGAGGTGGAAGGAGGCATGACTTAGACACTGGTGGTGGCCTTCTCAGGCTCGATGCTTTTCATCTCCACGACACCTTCCTTCCCAGATTGATCTGTACCATGTGCCTGCCCTTCAAAGGCCCGTGTGATATCCTCAAAAGTCCTGCCACGGGTCTCAGGGACTTTGAAGAAGGTAAAGATCAGGAAGGTAACAAGGAAGCCAGTGAAGATAATAAAAACGTAGGGTCCTAAATAGTAAGCAGCAGAGGGGAAGAGCAATCCAACTAGGAAGTTGGAGGTCCAGTTGGAGCAGCCGGCCACTGCCATCGCAGCTGGGCGGGGGCCCTGGCTGAAGAGTTCGGCCACAATAAACCAGGGAATGGGGCCTGGTCCAATTTCAAAGAAGGCCACAAAGACCAAGATAGCCCCAATAGAGACAAAGCTCATGCCATTATAGTCATCCTTTAATAACAAAGAAACAGTCATGAGTAGGGAACAAAAAGCCATCCCTGCAAGGCCTATCATATGCAGAGTCCTTCTTCCTGCCCTTTCCACCAGAAATAGGGAAACTACAGTGAAGACAGTATTAACCACACCTGCGCCGATGGTGGCATAGATGGGTTCTTGAACACCTGCATCCTTGAAGATTCCTGTTGAGTAATAGAACACAGCATTGATTCCAGAGAGCTGCTGAGAGAGCTGGAGCACGATGGAAATGATGATGGGCTGTCGGTAGCTGGATACTCTAAAGAGCTCCAGCACGGTGACTTGCTTTTCTTGTGACACCCTTGCACTCTCATCTTTCATCTCCTGGATATCTTGGGATACATCCTGGGTGCCCCACATCTGCTGGAGGATCCGCGTAGCATTCTCCTCTTCTTTTCTGTTAATGAGCAAAAATCTGGGACTTTCAGGGCAAAATGGAAGGGCTGCACTTTGTAGGATAGCAGGAAGGATGGTAAAGCCCAGTAGCACTGGCCACAGCTCTTCAGACCCAAGGATGAATTCCAGACCAAAGATCTGGGCCACCAGAATTCCGACAACGATGCCCAGCTGGTTTAGAGTGCCAAAGGCACCCCGCAGGGCAGTAGGCGAGATCTCTCCAATGTACATGGGCACAAAACCTGTGCACAGTCCGCAGAAGAGGCCAATAACCAAGCGGCCCAGGATCAGCATTTCCACCGACCCAGCCACTTTACACAGTCCCATAAGGCAGCCCCCAGCTAGAGCCAGCAGGTTGACGATCAGCATTGAATTGCGCCTGCCAAAGCGATTGACAAAGAGTCCCACGGAAAAGGAGCCAATCATACCACCGACGGAGAATATGGCCACTGACAAGGACCAGAGGGACGTGAGCAACATCTTAGAAGGAGGGGCGTTTTTCTTGTTCTTCAAAGTGTTATTGACAAACTCCTTTATGATCATCTCGGGGGCGTTGATGACCCCAGTGTTGTAGCCAAATTGGAAAGAGCCCATTGTAGCAACTGTGATGGCAAAGATCAGCGCTGCGGTGACCATCTCTCTGCTATCCTAGGAATTGACTCTCCAGTTTCTCTTCAAGGTACTGCTTCCTTGGGATTGTGCGCAAGAAGACACCTGTTCCAGGGGAGGCAGAATCTCCAACAGAGGGCTGAGCACTCCCCAAACCTGCGACTAGGTTGGGCCCCGCGGCTTCGCTCAACCGCTGCCTCCCCGGCCCGCTGCGCTCCCGCCGGCCCCGCCCGCAGCCGTTGGGACCCACTAACTGCTTCGCAAAGCCGGGGGTTCGACTTTGAACGGTCCGTTAACGGGGTCGCAAAACGTGACTCGGTTCTTCGGGCGCCCTCCCTAAGCACGGCAGGCATCCACCCGCGGTCCGAGCAAGGGTCCCGCTCGCGGTCGGGGTCGCCCAGCCCCGCCCGGGGTCCTAGTGCAACATTTAATGACATTTTAAGCATACCATATACAAAAGATACTTCAGTTACTAACGGTTTTTCTCACTTATAAATAATAAAGCCAGTAGATAGAACTATTTCAAAATTTTCAAGCTTTTTTTTTCTGTTATATCCTAAGAACCAATTGAACTTTCAAAATCTCATGATTATTTCCTTTTGAAGTCACAATAATTCAAGGTATAATTGGCTTTTATTAATTACAACGTAAAGTTATTTTTTTGCCCTGTGAATTTCAAGGTCATACTGGTTAGAAAAGACAAGTTTAGTCCAAGGCTGATCACTTTTTTAAAAAATCAAGAACTTATACATTAACAATTTATGGTTTTAACAATAAATTATTTTACATTAAATGACATGTTTATGTTCAAACAATGCTGGTTCATTTTGCTCCTTAAATTTGTACTATATATGCTACATTAGGAGTAAATTGAACCAGGTGCTGTGACTCACACCCGTAATTCCAGCTACTCAGGAGGTTAAGGCACTGTGATTGCTTGAGGCCAGAAGTTTGAGACAAGCCTGGGCAAAATAGTGTGACCCCTATCTCTAAAAAAAAAATACCTTAAAATATATTTTAAAAAATTAGCTGGGTGTGGTGGCGAGTATCTGTAGTCCCAGCTAGTTGAGAGGTTGAGGCAGGAGGATCCCTTGAGGCCAGGAGTTCAAGACTGCAGTGAGCTGTGAGCTCTGATAGTACCACTGCACTGCACAGCAGCCTGGACAACAGAGCAAGACCTTGTCTCTTAAAAAAAGAAAAGAATGTTAAAAGCAATTGGAGATAGGATCTCACACTGTCACCCAGGCTGGAGTGCAGTGGCACAATCATGGCTCACTGCAGTCTCAACCACCTGCTCCCATCTCAGCCTTCTAAGGAGCTGGGACTACAGGCACATGCCACCATGCCTGGCTAATTAAAAAAAAAAAGTTTTTTGTACAGGTGGAGTCTTGTTATGTTGCCCAGGCTGGTCTTGAACTTCTGGCCTCAAGCATTCCTCCCATTTGGGCCTCCCAAATTGCTAAAACTCTTTTTTGATTACGAATTCTTGGTTGTTAGAAGAACCATTTTGTTACTGTTTTTAGCTTGTGAAATTTTCTTATAACATGCTTGAATTACCAGACTCAGAGTTGTTTTAAGAATTCACAGTAATTTTAATTCATTGGCAAGACAGTTTGGTGGAAATAAAGTAGTTTATACTAAATATCAGAAAGTTTGAGTGAAGTTATCACTTATTAAAATTCTCTAATATTTGATAATAATGTTAAATAAATTATTTGAGCAGAATGAAACATGTTCCAAAATATTTGCTTGTAAGTGTAGTTTTATAAAGTAAATAGGTTTCCATTTTCAGAGAAGAGAAAGAGAATAGCAGAAATAATAAACAATGACTCATTTAACCCAATGATGTGTAAATACTAAACAGTGTCTACACAGAAGGATAATGTTTAAGGACCTGTACTTGGCTTTGCTATTTTTAATATGTACGAGATAACATGGAGAAAGGTAATGTAATTTTAAATTTAATTTGAATTTTTGGCAATATGTCTTTCAGCAAAGAAAACTGAGCTCTTTTTCCCAGTTGCCTTTGGCAATAAACCCCACAGTGACTGATCTTCATGACCTCATCCTGGAATTTAGCTTGAGTGACCAGTTTTAATCAACCTTAAAATAATGCCTCTTTGTCTATTGGAAAACAAATGGCGACAGATTGGCTTTTTCTGCTCTAACCATAGCTCATCTGACAAGCTTTGCCCATGGAAGTCTTAGAAAAGTATGAGATACAATTTGAGGAGTTAGTTGTGTGTGAAAGTCTTAATGAACTCAGTCACCTTGTAATTTAATGGCTAAGAAGCAGCTGTCTGAACAGATTAGCCATTAAATCTCAGATGTAGGGTTGTTTGACCTTAATTTGCATATTTTGAAAACCAGATTTTGCGGTTGTAGTTGGCTTTCAGAGTCGAGCGAGGAGTGTGAGCACTGCCTCAGTTCTGTTCAGTTACAAGGCTATGAAGACAAATCTAAGGCCGTCACTGGAGGACAAACAAAAGGTGGCACTGCTTTCCTTTGTTTTTTTATAGTTTTATTACATTAAAACTGCTATATATTATTAGCATTAGTTAACTGGTCATTTTTGTTCCCTGAGAGAATAAATCAACATTCATCCAGGGACACCTGTACTGGGGAGGCTTGTAATAGACAATAAGAAAAGTCTTATTGTTCTTTACAGTATAATTATTTCTGATTATAGATATGACAGCAATCTGGGATTCAGAAGACTGCGAGTAACATAACAAAGACGCTAAAACAGTGTGGCCAAAGGAAATACTGAGGAGAATGCTCAGGAAACGCTGAGCAGGTAAAAGTTTGGCAGAGCTACTAGTGCACTTCCAATATTAGTGATGGAGTCCTGCTCAGAATACGCACCATGCTTCCAGGCTTCTCTGCAGCCAGGTGAAGCACAGTTCTGGCCCCTGAGATATTTGCAATATTGATATGTGTAACTTCTGGATTGTACCATGATGAGGAACGGACATACCCTCCCCTTCCCCTGCCCTATTACTTAGCAGCTGCAATCTGTACCCGGTGGTAAGTGGTAATGAGTGACCCTCAACCACTCCAATGAGCACAATGCCTTAGAGATAGTTGAATAACAGTATAGAAGCATCCTGAGTCCCTCACACCACAAACCCATTATTCCGGTTCTGTAATGCTTATGTAACAGAAAAACAAACTCCTGTTTTATTGAAGTCACAGGTACTTTGGGTCTTGGTCTTAATAGCATAATCTATTTCTTAATTTATTAAGTGTGCATAATGACAATTGAGAGGAGTGATTAAAGTCCTGAAGTGTTCAGATTCAAACTTTAGAAAACCATGTGCAGGAGAAAACAAAATCAAATCAAAAATATATCTTAGGGTGGATTCAACGAATTTGCCTTTTCCCCCCACACCACCCACCATTTTCAGCCTCTTTTCTAAAGCTTGCACTCAAGAGTAACTGGAAAGCTGCCACACACCACGTATGCTTCCTCTCTGCTTCAGTTTGTTCAAATAATCCCCCCCACATAGCTCAATAAAGGTAACTTTGCCTGTCAATCTTCTACAAGATCTAGGCTGGGGATGGGGGTGGGAGCACATAGTTTAGGTTCTTCTTTATTGATGGATTAATTGTGAAAACAGGAAGTTGAAAACTCAGGGTCGTGGTTTATGAGGTACCCAAAAAAAGGGAATTTGAGGATGGATTGGAGAGAAAGTGCCTCTGGAGGAGATGGGCAAGGACCCATTCTTGATGGAGTGGGAGACTTGTATATTCTGACATCTTTCCGGGAAGTATTAGTACAGCCTTAAGGGTCCTTTCTTAATTTGCACATGGTTGCAGTCTGGACTAGAGGTATGTGGATGCAACACTCTGACTGGGGCTGAGGATCAAGAGTAATAGACTTCCTGGGGGTAGAGAGGGAGAATGTGGCAATCTCCAGAGAAAGGAAAGCCTTACTGTCCCCTGGGTAAAAATTACTGAGGATTTACAGTGTCAAGTGGGCCTGGATTTCAGAATAAGCAAAAGATTAGCATCTAGATCTTGAGACAGCCTTGGAAAGCACACACACACAGACACACACACACGCACGTGAGAACCCATTATGTGTAAGTGGTAAGACATTCGATTAGAAAGTTTACTATTAACATGTTTTTAGTCACTGCGAACGAAATCGTAGACACTCAAAATGGTAGTGTGGGAGTGGAGTCGAGAGAGACTTCCAGGATCTTATCTCAACCATTAAAAAAAGGTTTTTTTGTGTGTCAAACATATTTTATAAGTAGCTGCTTCATACTTCAAATATCTCTGAAACTTGAAGGGAGGAGGAGGGAGAAATGGCACCAGTTTATGAAATTCATTGCCTATGTTTGTCAACACTATGTAATGCTCTATGCCAGAAGTTGTAAACTGGCTGCTCCAGTCAAATTTGGCCTTGAAAATGTTTTGCTTTGCTGACCTAGTCTCAAGAAAAATCACAATTAGTTGCTAATGTTTCAAAAGAAGAAATTTCATAATAAAATTGGGATTTGAAGCTTCGGTTCTGAAAATTCTGAAAATGAGGTGATACTGAGCTCTCTTTCCCTTATGGAAATAATCAGTGGATCTGAATAAGAGAAATCTCTTGTAGATGGAGCCTCTAGTCTTCAATCTGCCACATTCTTGGTTTCCTCTTTGCCTGCCCCATTTATGTTTACCTGCCTTTTTTTGGTAGACATTTGACTTAGCTGCCCCTGCTAGATTTGAAATAGAGACTTGTGCCCTGCACAAGGACATAGCATATTGCTAGAAATGTATGTACTTTATAAATATTCATCGACAAATGAATGAATGAATGAATTGATCCTGCCTAAGACTCAGCAAAGTCTGATGTCAATGATTATCCTTGGGCTAGAGTAAGTTATGGACCAGTGTTTTGATCATCTTGCCTGGACCTCTGCTTCTAGCCAGAAGACAGGCGGGTCGTCTAAGCCAGATGTCATGAATCCGTCTTCAGGGAAATGGCTTTTGTAGTCGTTCCTGATGAATTTGCTGAACCTGGTGGTGCTCCTCATTCTTATTAAAACCTTGATTTTCCCATTGCCTATAGCCTGGTATTTAGGGCCC